ATATTTGCTTTAAAAGCATGCTGTTGGAGAGAAAAATGAACAGAAGAATATTATGCCATATGATAAGTGATATTACAAAAATGCTTCTATAGGAGTTGCCTATTGGAAAGCTAACTGATTTTTTGAGGAGATGATGAACAAAATGAAATTTGAAGACTTAGAATAAGATAGAGTGAATCGCTTGAATACTAATGTGGCGAAAACATGAATGTGGCAGTTTCCTGGAAACAGAAATAATTCGGTATGGCTGGTGAGTAGAATATGATGGCCAAGACATTATTGTAAAACTTAGCAGAAAATTCAGAAAGATCCTTGTGTTCTGTCAAAGGAGTTTGTTCAGTGTTAAATTTTTTTTTTGGTAAAGATTTATTTATTTATTTGAAAGTCAGTGTTACAGAGAGAGAGGGAGATATAAAGAGAAATAGAGATAGAAAGAGAGAGAGAGAGAGAGAGAGAGAGAGAGAGAGATCTTCCATGCGCTGGTTCACACCCCAAATGGTTGTAACAGCCAGGGCTGGGCCAGGCTGAAGCCAGGAGCCACGAGCTTCTTCTAGGTCTCTCATGAGGGCAGTAGGGGACCAAACAAATATGTGGGCCATCTTCTGTTGTTTTCTAAGGACATTAGCAAGAAGCTGGCTAGGAAGCAGAGCAGCTAGGGCATGAATTGGTGCCCATATGGAATGCTGGCAATACAGATAGCAGCTTGACTGGCTACTTCACAATGCTGGCCCCCAGTGTTAAATTCCATATATGTCCTTACATTTCAAAAACTTTTTATTTTGTCCTTCAGTAGTTAAATAATAATCATAATCTTTCATGGCTATATCAAAAGATTTTGAGGGTAGGAAGAGAGTTATATTATCTGATTTGTGATTTGTGATGATGCTATAAATATAGACTAGGGAAGGGAGTTTGGCAAAGAGGTTAAGATGCCATGTGGGATGCCCATATCCAATATCATAGTGCCTGGTTTGAGTTCCAGCTCCATTTCTGATTCCAGTTTCCTTCTAATGCACATCCTGAAAGGGAACAGTTGATGGTTCAAGTGAGCGGGTCCCTGCCACCCCTGTGAGGAACCCAGATGGAGCTCTCACTTCCCAGCTCCACCCTCACCTAGCCCCAGCTTTGCAGGCATTTACGAAGTGAATTAGTTGATGGGAGAGCTCGTTCATTTTCTCTCTCTCTCTCTCTCTCCTCTCCTCCCTCCAACCTTTTAAATAAATAAAATATTTTTAAAAATAAGAAAATAGATTGAAGGTGTGGTGGAAGAAGGCAGGAATATTTCTAGAAAGACTATTTGGGAACTATTCCAGTAATTTAGGCGAGAAATCCGTTGTGAGATTGGCCAAAAGAAGATGAGTTCAAGATGTAAAGCAGGTAGAATCTGAGTGGTTCATGTGGTAAGACAAGATGAGGGAGAAATCCAAGGATAAATTCCCGGTTTCTAGCTTGGGAGAATGAGTAGATGAAGATACCATTTTCTGAGGTGTGGGAAAAGAATAATGGTGAACAGTTTCAAAAATATTGGATTTGCAGTATATATTGGACATTGGCATGGAAATGTAAATTAGAAAGCACATATATAGTTTAGAAGTTAGGTGAGGAAGCAGATTTGAAGGTTTGGTTTGGAGATTATCATTATATAGAGAGGGTCTGAAGCCATGAGATAGAATGAACACTGGCTGGGCTCCCAGGTAGGGCTGCTATATGGCTCTCAGAGCTCAGTTAAGGTTTAAAGGAATGAATTTCTATTGTCACTAATCTGCACAGGATGTTATCTGTTTTTCTAGCATTTAGAAACTCAGTTATGGCAGTGAGAAGGTGAATGAGTGGGTTGATCCAGGCTTATTATTTTTCTGGCTAACATAGTAGAGGAAAAATTGGATAGCAGTTGGTTTTTCAGAGTGGTGAAAATAACGGGCCACAAGGTCCCTTAAGCAAGAGGTGTGGGATCATTGAAGTGAAAGAAAACCTGAATATTAAACTGAGACAGCTGGAAATATCAGAGCCTGTAGTGAGAAAGGGGTGTTGCACGTGTTTGGGAATGGGATAGGCTTTCTCTATGGACTTGAAAGAGATGTAAACTTTCTAGAGACAAGATTCTGAGATATCAATGACTGTGATGACACTCTTGGCCAGGGAGGCCAGTGGACTTCATTGGTATCGAGGGCAGAGGGTGGTGGAGATTTGCTACAGGATCCCACGTGAGTCTGGAGGAAAAGAAGGGTTACAGAGGAGGTGATAGACTCTGAGTAGTGGAGCACATGTTATCAGAGCTGGACTTTGAAGGACTGATCAGAGTTCAGAGTTCTCTAGGCAGTTGAGGAAGCTGATGGCGAGGGCATTTCTGATAAAATCATAATACCTGCCAAGCTTTGGAGACACTTACCTTCTTTTTCAGTGCAATATCCCCCAGGAGATGTAATTCATAAATACATGCCCTACTTCCTGTTTTGCCTCTTTTCTCCAGGTCGAGGCCATTCTGGAAATTAAACATTCCAGTAGAATTAAAATAACCCTATCTTCAAATAAACTTAGAAAGGGGGGAGGTGTGTTTGGCATAGCAAATTAGGCTGCCTCTTAGGATGCATATACTCCATACCAGAGAGCCTGCAGCTAAATCCTACCTTCATTTCAAATCCAGCTTCCTGCTAATGCATATCCTGGTAGGGAGCAGATGATCCTGGACCCTGGGTACCTACCATCCACATGGTAGACCCACGTGAAATTCCTACTCCCTGGCTTCACTTTGGTCCAGCCCTGGCTGTTGTTGGCATTTGAGAAATGAACCAGTGGATGGAAGATCTTTCTCTGTCTGTCTTTGTCTCTCCCCCTCACTTCCATCATTCTGATTTTATTTTATTTTATTTTTTAAGGTTTATTTTTATGAGTCTGCTGTGTATCCCGCTTCCCATGCACACAGCAGACTCATAGAATGGCAGATGTCCTAAACAGCACTCTGGCCTCAGAATCAGCCCTTAAGGCATTCGGTTCTGCCTGAAGAGCCCATGAGAGTATTTTAGGCATGGAAAGCCAAGACACTCTGGAAAACAACAACAACAACAACAACAAACCTAAATGAAAGATCTCTGTGAGTGAGATCCCAGTGGAAAGAACAGGTCATCAAAGGAGGTACCTTTCTCTGAAGGGAGGAGAGAACTTCCACTTTGACTATGACCTTGTCTAAATAAGATCAGAGTCGGCAAACTCAAAAGGCCTCCATAGCCTTGGCAAGTCATGACAAGAGCCTAAGGAGATTACTGATGCCATAAACAAGAGTGTCAATTTGTTAAGTCAACAACAGGAGTCACTGTGTACTTACTCCTCATGTAGGATCTCTGTCCTAAATATTCTGTACATTGTGATTTAATGTTATAACTAGTACTCAAACAGTACTTTACACTTTGTGTTTCTATGTGGGTGCAAACTGTTGAAATCTTTACTTAATATATGCTAAAAAGATCTTCTGTATATAAAGAGAATTGAAAATGAATCTTGATGTGAATGGGATGGGAGAGGGAGCGGGAGATGGGAGGGAAGTTATTGGGGGAGGGAAGCCATTGTAATCTATAAGCTGTACTTCAGAAATTTATATTCATTAAATAAAAGTTTAAAAAAAAGATTTATTTTATTTACTTGAAATACAGAGGCACAGAGAGAGGTAGAGACTGAGAGAGAGGTCTTCCAACCAGTGGTTCAATCCCCAGATGGCTGCAACAGCTGGAGCTACACCGATTGCAACCAGGAGCCAAGAGCTTCTTCCAGGTGTCCTATATGGGTGCAGGGACCCAAGGACTTGGGCCATCTTCTACTGCTATCCCAGGCCATAGCAGAGAGCTGGATCTGAAGAGAAGCAGCTGGGACTAGAACCGGCATCCATATGGGATACAAGCACCTCAGGCCAAGGCGTTAACCCTCTGTGCCATAGCACTGGCCCCATCATTCTGCCTTTAAAATAAATAAATTAAGAAAAATAACTCCATCTCTTGAATACCTGAGCAAGTTTTTTTTTTTAAGTCTTGCAGGAGTGTACCAGTTTCACAGTCCGAACTTTGTTCCCTGTCGTTTTCATGAGAAAACGGTCAGAGATGCAATATATAAGAGTTCTTATATATCTTTGAAGAAATGCCATTTTTATGACTTCACAAAAATTGACATCCTGGAGTCTATCATTTCTCCATGATCCAGTTCCTTCTTCTATGCTTTGGAGCTATTGTGATTTTAGAAAGATCATGGCCTTTGCCGCTGAACAGAACCAGTATTGAATCTTGATAACAACACATTCTAGCTGTATGACCTTTAGCAACATATTTTTCTTCCTGACTTTCCATTCCCTGTTCTGTGAAAAGTATGCTCACCTCCCAGAGTTATGAGGATGAAGTGACATCCTATCAATGAGGAGACACAGAATAGATGCTTCACACAATTCTTCCTGGCTTTCTCCGTCCTTGCCCCTAACTCTCCTCCTGTGCTCATTTCTTTCAAGCACTGAGCTGCTGACCTTTGCTTCTGCCCGTATTGTCTGTCTCCTACCTGCCACAACCTCACATAAATACTTCACACTTCCCAGAAAGTGCTCTGTTTTCCCAGAATCACGACCTCTAGAAGTCTAGCTCAGGAAGATCCAAGAAAAATAAGAGGAGGAAGAGGAAGCTCTTTTATACTGGATGGTTTTAAGAATGGCGTCCTGGAGACAAGGGCAGACAGTGAACAAGGGGGCAGGAAACAGAAAGGAGAAACTGCAAGAACGTAGAGGAGACGCCTTGACAATCAAACCAAGAGTAGCAGTCCTCTTGTGCTTTGCTGAAGCTTGATGATATTTGCTTATAGTTTCGTTGGACTCCCATCTCCTTTCTGAAGCTAAATGTTTTGACTAGGAGGAGCAAATCCTTTAATAAGATGTGTTGTGAACGATTTGCTGTATTTTTTTTTCATCAAAGTGTAACTCACATTTTCGCATTTCCCTACTTACCAGACTTGTTTTCCATTTTGCTCTACAGGAGCCTGCAGCCAAGATAAACTGAAACTCTCAACCTGCTCCTTATTGACACTGCGGAGCAGAGCAGTACACTCCCTCTAGGTGAGTGGTGCAGCACAGTCGCCCCGAGAATCAGGGAGATTGGCATCTGCAGAATTGCCCGCATCAGCAGCTGCTTCATGTTCCCTTGTTAGTGGTTATACCACATCATCTACGCAAAGTCCAGTGCAGCAACGCAGCAACAACAGAAAGAGAAGTTTGCAATACAGACGACAAGACCTTCAAATCTAGTAACTCACAGAAAGAACTACATAAAGAAACCTACATTCCTGTAGCGGGGAGGGGAGGTGTTCTTTTAGAACTATTTAACATAAGACTCTTGGAACTGGGGCCTGCGCTGTGACGTAGTAGGTTAAGCATCTGTCTGCGGCGCCAGCATCCCATATGAGCCCCATTTTGAGTCCCAGCTGCTCCACTTCCGATCCAGCTCCCTGCTGATGGCCTGGGAAAGCAGTAAAAAGGGCCCAACTGCTTGGGCCCCTGCACCCACGTGGGAGACCCGGAAGAACTTCCTGGCTCTTGACCTCTGATTGGCTCAGCTCTGGCTGCTGCAGCCATTTGGGGATGAACCAGAGCATGGAAGACCCTTCTCTCTTCTCTCCCACTGTCTGTCTGTAACTCTACCTCTCAAATAAATAAATAAACTCTTTTACAAAAAAGACTCTGAACTATATATTGGTAAACTATTACAACATTCCCTGAGGAAATCTTTAAGTTTATTATTAGTAAATTAAAATCTTCATTCTCTGTTTAATGTGAGCATAATGGCTAACTTAGTTTCTTCTGAACCATATTAATAATTTTTACATACTAAATAAATAAATAGTATAAAAATATAAATGGCCAGTGAACTTATGAGAGAATATTCTGTCTCTCTAGTTGCAGTGCCACTTTAAATAGCAAGCATAAGCCATTTGAACTGATTTGACATTGGTAGTACAAAATAGTGACCATTTTTGCCTAGACTACAATAGACCTCAAAGGCAATGATAATTATCATTGGGCAGTGTGACCCTGGATGATTTTTGTTTGCTTCTTGTACTTTTCTGTACCCTCCTATTCCCTCATCTCTACCAATAGACACCCTCTCATAATAAACACATGTCAAATTCAGAAAACAAAAAGGGAAATGATCAAATCTAATGACTTGGTGTGTATTTTTTTAAAAACTTTTAGAAGTAAAAATATTGGGATCAGGAGTTTAGTCTAGCAGTTAATATGTCTGCATCCCATATCAGTATACCTAGGGATCTGACTCCAACCCAGGATCCTGACTTCAGCTTCCTGCTGGTGCAGACCTTGGGAGGTAACAGGTGATGGCTCAAGTAATTGGGTCCTTACCACCCATGTGGGAGACCTGGATTGAGTTCCAGCTCCCTGCCTCAGCCCCAGACCCTGGCATGTGCACATTTGGGGAGCAAACTGATAGTTTATGCCTGCTCCTGCTTTCCTTGTGTGTTTTTTCTTTCTTTATCACTCCCTGCTTATTTTAAAACAAATCCCTACCGTCATGTCGTCTTAACCACAATTGTTTATACACACACACACACACATGGACACAGATGCACACACATACAATGTCTGTATAAGTATTAAAAGGTTCATATATATTATTTTTAACAAAAATGAGCAAAAGCTCATTGGTGACATCTAAGCTCGGTCTTTCTTAACATTTCTACCATTATCAAAAAAAAAAAAAAGAAAGAAAGAAAAGGATTTTACAATTGATTTATTTGAATTAGGATTCAGATGAGGTATAATCATTACATTTGATTGTGACACACTTTAAGCTTCTTTTAATTTAGGACAGATATCTCTCTCCTCTTTTTTCCTGGTCCTTGACTTTTTGTCTTATAAATTGTCCCAAATTCTGGATTTATCTGTTTGTTTTCCTACTTCTGTGCAAACTAAGTTAGATATAAATCTTGACTAAATACAAGTTCAATGTTTTTTGGCAAGAATATTTCATAAGTGAGGTGTCTTGTTACATTACATCATGAAGCACATGATGTCTGATTGTCTCATTTTGAGACATTAAAATTGATCAGTGGGATCTGATGGCGTAAACTATGGTAAATGTCCCCATCATCCTTTTTCTGAATGATTTTAGCTTCTGTTGACATTCATTGCCTGAATTAATTATTTCATTAATGCTTCTAATTTTAATAATTTTATTTATTAATTGTATTAATTCTTATCTACTAAAATTCTCCTCTGAAGAAAAGCGGTACGTTGTCAACTTGGAGTTTTGTTTTCTGAAATGTAATCATACAAAACAGTAAAAACAGATGTACATCCCTTGCTTTTGTCCAGTCTAAAGTCCTAGAAACAGTACCAGACCAGTGTCAAGGAAGATCCATGACATACAGGCAACATGAACACTGGGAGGGACCAAGACTTGAGAATGGGCTGATTCGAAGTGTGAAGCTGGAATAAGCCAGGTGAGCCTGGTAAACCTTGTGGTTCCAGTAACCAAAGAATCTATGCAAGCTGATAGGGCTGTGTCAGAATGGTTCCCCAGGAGCTGATTTGAAGGAACTTCTACTGATGCAAGGTAATTTGAGCATAAAAAAAAAAAATAGTGGCTACAATTGATTGACTCATTGAAAATATTTAAAAAGTCTTATGCGTTCACAATGATACAGATATAATATGAAAACAGGTAGAAAATCACTAAATAAAAACAAAAGCAAATACATTGGTAGCCACTGCAGCAAAGCAGAACACCAACTGCTTAAAAATTAGTAGATTAAAGGGAAAGAGTGATTTATGTTTTTTTTTTTTTTAAAGATCACTGTGGCCTCTGTGTGCGGAGTAGGTGGACTACACACTGCCAGCGATGTGTAGATGAAAGAGCAGCGCCTGGCCTCCTAGAGCTCACGTCTCCAGTGGGGATGGCTGCCCTGGATCAGGTAATCAAGTGGAATATGAATAGTAACAGGGATGAGCAGATGATGCCACTGGAGCACACAAGAGGGCCTCAAGTCACCCTGAGAGCTCTGAGACAGAGTCGGCACCGAACGTGGGTCTCACAGGTAGAATCAAAACAAGTGGTGATCCTACACTAGACTGACTCAAAACCAGCTGGAGCTTCCGACTCAGGGCGTGGAGAGGATTAAGCAGGCAAGCGGAAGGACACATTGAGTCCTGCACAGAAGCGGCTGGGGAACATGGGCTGAAGGCTGATCAGCTGGTGCCAGGGAGAGAGGGCTCAGATCTCCTTGGTATTACCTTCGACTTTCTATTTGATCCTTGCTTGTAACTGCAAAAGGTGCTGGTTTGGGGAGACAAGAAGAGAGCTAAAAGGAAAGGTAGGGATTGGGAGGTGAATGTCAATGAAGAACAAATCACAGCTGTGCTATATGGCTGAGAAGGTCTGCTGTGATGTTAAATGACATCATGGGATCAAAGGTGCTGTGTGTGTAACAGCTTGGATGTGCTGTACTATGTTAAAGCTTTAAGCCACAGAGATTATATGAACACTGGGCATTCACAAACATATTAAGAGATAACTAGCCAGGCAGAAGTAACAAATGGAGACAGCCAGACACAGGCTGCCGACTATTGGAAAGATGATGTCATTGTAGAGGATCACAAGACCCAGAGGATCTGCAGATGTGCAGGGATCCCCATGAATGGATAAAACGGACCCTGTTCACGGGAGGGTGAGTAACATAGACTGATTCTTTATGCACAGGAGGTTACAGAATAGTTATAATCCAGTGCAGAACTGAAGTGTAAGGTTCTAGAACAGGGTTTTAGCAAATATCTAAAATAATAATTAACAATAACATTCAGTCTTGCCAGGAGTGCAATATAACTGGTCCTTTCTTATATCGCTAGTGAAAGTTAAATCGGTATAATTTTCCTGGAAAAATTTAGCAATACATTGTATGATCATTAAAGCATTCTTATTCTTTGGCCTACTCTTGCAATTTTTTTTTTTTTTTTTTGCAAAACCTAATGTAAGGGGAAAATACAAAAACATATGTGGACAAAGTGCATCTGAGTATTAATATAGAGAAAAAATGAAAACAATACAGGTTTCTATCAATAAGGGAACTACTGGCCTGCGCCGTGGCTCACTAAGCTAATCCTCCGCCTTGCGGCACTGGCACACCAGGTTCTAGTCCCGGTCGGGGCGCCGGATTCTGTCCTGGTTTCCCCTCTTCCAGGCCAGCTCTCTGCTGTGGCCAGGGAGTGCAGCGGAGGATGGCCCAAGTGCTTGGGCCCTGCACCCCATGGGAGACCAGAAGTACTTGGCTCCTGCCAAGGGATCAGCACGGTGCGCTGGCCGCAGCGCGCAGCCCGCGGCGGTCACTGGAGGGTGAACCAACGGCAAAGGAAGACCTTTTTCTCTGTCTCTCTCTCTCACTGTCCACTCTGCCTGTCAAAAAATAAAAATAAATAAATAAAAATTAAAAAACAAGAAAAAAATAAGGGAACTATTAATCGAGTGTGGCATATTTATAAATGAATATATAGGAATTAAATGCTAACAAAGTTTTTAGCAACAGGGTCAGGTTCATCATTTGAAAGCATTTAAAAACCATGTAGAAAAGAAGAATACAGAAAAACTATCTGTGACTAATAGGCAGTATTTTTCAAAGTTTTATTGAGGGATAAGTTACTACAATAAAATTCACAAATTTAAATGTAGAACTTGATGTTTTAGACAACTGTTTATGCCCATGTTAACTACTACAACTAAGATACAGTTGCCTTCAGTCTCCCCAGAGTTTTCATAGATCCTTTTGCATTACCATCCTCTGACCTCCTGACCCCTAACAAAAAAAGTCTTCTTTTTGTCACTGTGGTTTTACCTTTTCCAATATTTCGTGTAAACAGAATCTTATACTATGTAGGCTCCTGAGCTAGGATAACACTTCTTGAGATTCTTCTATGCTGTTGGACTTATCAGTAGTTCATTTCTTTGTGTGGCCAAGATAGTATTCTGTCATATGCGTGCTGCAATCTGATTTTCCATTTGCCCCTTGTTGGATATCTGAGTTGTTTCAATTTTCTTATTACCGTGAATGAAGTGTGCTGGCCATTAGTGTACAAGTATTTGAATGCCCATAGTTTTTATTTCTTTTGGGTAAATACATAAGAATGGAATTACTGTATTACTTATAAATTTATAAGGAGCTGCTAAAGTCATTTTCCAAGTAGGTGAATCTTGTGTAATATTTGGGTGTTCCGGTTCCACATGTTCACCAAAACTTGAAGTTGTCAATTGTTTTAATTTTAGTCATCCAAGTGAGATCAAAGAGGCAATTTAATGTAGCTTTAATAGATGTTTTATTAATGACTAATGATGTTGAACATCTTCAAATGCACTTATTTGCAATTTTTATATTTTCTTTGCTGAAAGTCTATTAAATCATCCCCTTTCCCTACCCCATCTATTTATAGGGGTAAAAGTAGATTATGTATAGATTATAGGGGTATAAATAGATTACATATAGATTTCTTGTTAATGAGTTATGCTCTTTATATATTTGCATATATGAAGTTATTGATTATATATATGTTTTGCAAATATTTTTCCTGATCTGTGACTTTTCATTTTCTTTCTTTTTTTTTTTAAATTTTTTGACAGGCAGAGTGGACAGTGAGAGAGAAAGACAGAGAGAAAGGTCTTCCTTGGCCGTTAGTTCACTCTCCAATGGCCGCCGCGGCTGGCGCGCTGCAGCCGGCGCACCGTGCTGATCCGATGGCAGGAGCCAGGTACTTATCCTGGTCTCCCATGGGGTGCAGGGCCCAAGCACCTGGGCCATCCTCCACTGCACTCCTGGGCCACAGCAGAGAGCTGGTCTGGAAGAGGGGCAACCGGGACAGAATCCGGCGCCCCGACCGGGACTAGAACCCGGTGTGCTGGCGCTGCAAGGCGGAGGATTAGCCTAGTGAGCCGTGGCACCAGCGCTTTTCATTTTCTTAACAGTGTTTTTTTGAAGACTGAAACTCTTAAACTTAGATGAAGTCCATTTTTTTTCTTATAGTCATTTTCTTACGGTATTAATTCAGAAATCTTTATCTAACCACAAATTTTATACACTAGTAGTTCTTATTTAGACCTATAACACATGCCAAGTTAACTTTTAAAGATGGAGTGAGATAAGGTTTATTTTAGATGTGTTTTATCATGTTGAGAAAATTCTATTTCTAGTTTTCTGAGAGTTTTTAAAAAATTTATGTGGGTTTTAAAATTTAATTTCTTAAAAGAATGTTAAGGGGCCAATGCTGTGGCGCAGCAGGTTAACACCCTGGCCTGAAGCACCAGAATCCCATTTGGGCTCTAGTTCAAGACCCAGCTGTTCCACTTCCAATCCTCTCTCTAATATGGCCGGGGAAAGCAGTAGAAGATGGCCCAAGTTCTTGGGCCCCTACACCCGCGTGGGAGACCCAGAAGAAGCTCCTGGCTCCTAGCTTCAGATTGGCGCAGCTCTGGCTGTTGTGGCCAATTGGGGAGTGAACCATCAGATGGAAAACCTCTCTCTCTCTATCTCCCTCCCACTCCCTCTCCTCTGTGTAATTCTGAGTTTCAAATAAATAAATAAAAATCATTTTTTAAAAAAAGAATGTCAAGAGTTTATGTAAATGAAAGATATTGATCTGCAGGTTTTTTTTTGGTTTGTTTGTTTGTTTTTTGACAGGTAGAGTTAGACAGTGGTCTGTACCCCCTAAATGGCCACTACGGCCGGCACACTGCGCCGATCCAAAGCCAGGAGCCAGGTGCTTCCCCTGGTCTCTCATGCGGGTGCAGGGCCCAAGCACTTGGGCCATCCTCCACTGCCTTCCTGGGCCACAGCAGAGAGCTGGACTGGAAGAGGAGCAACTGGGACAGAATCCAGTGACCCAATCAGGACTAGAACCCAGGGTGCTGGCGCCGCAGGCGGAGGATTAGCCAAGTGAGCCGTGGAGCCAGCCTGTAGTTTTCTTTCTTACAGTATATTTTTTTGGCTTTGATTTTAGGGTAATATTGGTCTCCTAAAATGATCTGGAATATATTCTTTCATTTTCTATAACCATTTATGTAGAATTGACATTTTTTCTTTCTTTTTTTTTTCCCAGAAGATATATTATACAAAATACACTCAGAATCATGGATTTCTTTTTCTTCGTCTTTTCTTCCCTGAACGTGCAGTTGTTTGAGTCTCTTGTGTTTCTTCTTTTACATCAGATACAGGCTGTTTGAAAACTATTTCATCATCTTTCTCTTCATCTTTCGTTTCAGCTGCTTCAGATTTTCGTCTCTCCAAATATGATGGTGTACAAACTGGTGTGGGGCCCTGGCTATCCACAGTCTTCTCAGGAGTGTTAGCAGTACCTGAAGTCTTTTTTTTCTTCTTCTTAGGTATGCCAGAAGTTTTCTTCTTCTTTGAAGGTACATTTACCACCTGGCCATTTGTAGATTTCTGAAGATCAGTGCTTCCAACATTTTTCCCTTTCTGTAAAATCAATGAGGGAAAATCATAATCAAGAATTGACATTTTTTCAATAAATGCGTGGTAATATTCAACTGAAATCATGTGAGCTTGGAGTTTCTTTTGAGGGATTATTTTTCTTTACAAACTAAATGTATTCATAGATAAAAAGATATCCAGGGTATCTTTTTGTTCTTATGTGTTTTGGGTAGTTGGCGTCCTACAGACTCATTCCATATTTTTCCCATTTTATCCAAGTTATTGAATTTATTAGCATAATGCTATTTATAATATTTTTAATTATTTATTTATTTATTCATTTATTTATTTGACAGGCAGAGTTAGTGAGAGAGAGAGAGAGACAGAGAGAAAGGTCTTGCTTCCACTGGTTCACTCCCCAAATGGCAGCTGCGGTCAGAGCTACTCCAATCCGAAGCCAGGAGCCAGGTGCCTCCTCCTGGTCTCCCATGTGGGTGCAGG